TCACCTGCTGTGCTGGGCACAGAGGTGGTGTTGGGAGCACAGGGTGATGTCTGTTCCTTGCTTTGCATAGCTGAAGATGGCAGGGATCTGGGTCAGTCCCTAGGGACCCCTTCTGTCTCACCAGAGCTGACTGCAGCTCTGAGTGTTGTCCCACAGGGCCCACAGAGCAGGACTCTTGTTTTGTATGTGTACACCATAGCCCTGAATGATGGCCACCTCCCTCCACATGATCTGGCATGGTTTTGGGCCATGCCAGTTAGTGTTGTCCCCCTCAGTGCCATGAGCACAGCCCCAGGCCATGGCGAGCTTGCTGCCAGGTGCTGGAGGATGATCGCTTGTTCTCAGAATGCATGAGGAGAAGCATAATAGTCAGCCATGGCTCTGCAACTCCTTTCCCTTCCACCGTGTTGACTCCAAATGCTTCAACACTTAATTTCTAGGCCAACTGCAAGGGGTGAATGTGCTAGGCAGGGCTGCTGTGATGGATGGGGAGAGACAAGGATGCTGTGGTGTCACTGAGGCCAGTCGGGAGGCAAAGCCTAGCTGGGAAGAGCCGTGTTCAGTGCTCATCCGTGCTCTCCACCTGGAGCACTTTGCTATTCACCAGGGCATCTGAATATTTTAACCCTTGGGGGTGATGGAAATGGCTTGTCTCCCCTTTCCCCACCACCCTCCCCTGCTTATCTACAAAAAGCAGGGCCAAACTACTGCAGGCCTCAGTGGGTGAGACAAATCGGAGAAGCTTAAAGTGAGATGAACATCTCTCAGCTTGTGCTTGGAGGGGGCTGGGGAAGAAGAAAAGGAGGGGGCTGAGAAAAGCAGCTTGTAATTATAGAGTAAGAGGCAGTGATAAAATGATAATGGAAGAGTTCTGACCCGGCCTAACCAGTTCTGCAAAGCTGTGAAATAAATTTAGCAAAAGAGCGAGGGCATGGGGGCTCCCAGGCTGGGTTACAGCTGAAATGCTGGTTTCACAAACAAAGCATAAATTGGATTGCAAACATCTAATTAACCTCTTTGCTTATTTTTGTTGAGAAAGATGACAGATTCCAGCCAAAGCTAATGCCATGGCTTGGTCTCCCCTTAGAAGAGAGGATCTGGAGGAGAAGGGAGGAAAAAATGATTGGATACTTTGTGCCTGCTGGTGCTCTCCTTGCTTTCTGGAAATTGGAGAGATGATTTCTGTTCTCTCTTTTTCAGCTCTTTTTGTGCCTCTGTCCCAGGTGAGAAGCTGTGTGTGATGTCCGTCATTGCTGTGAGAGGAGGAAGGTGTTGATGGTAGTTTCCCTTTTGGATCCTTTGTTCTTCATCTCGCTCTTCAGCTTCATCTCCCTTTCATGGGGATGGGGACCTGCTCCCACAGCTTCCTGTACCTACATGCGGCCAGGCCAGGCCTCTTAGCTCACGGTCTCTCTCACAGAACTAACCCAGCCTCCTTGGAGAGAAGAGCAAGATCAGGGAAATGAACCTATTTTTTGCTGTCTGGGCTACAACGTTTTCTGTTTATCTTGCTCGAGGGCAACCGTTCCACATGGATTTCTGAAGTGGCATCGCTCTGTGACCGTCCCCGCCCCCCCATCCCCTCACCAACTCCTGCTCCCCTCTCACCCCAACCTCTTCTTTTTCACCCCACCTTCCCCCAGGGGCATCCAGCCAGTGCAAACGGTCCCTTGGCAGCAATGATGAAGATGGATGTCTGATTGATTCTCTCTCCTCTGTGCAACCCCCACTCAAGCCCCCCTTTCCCTCTTCCCCCCCTTTCCATGCCCTTCTGGCAGAAAATTAAAAGGCTATTTGTTAAAGGGTGAAAGCCCTCAGGTGCAGCCCCCGGCTGGACAATTTGTCTCCATGAAAAGGATGCTATTATGAGAGCGGCTGGATCCAGGAGGAGGGGGAGAGTTTGCCAGGAGAGGTGGGGAGGGGGGAAGGAAGCGGCTCGGAGGGACAATGAGGTTGGGCTGGGGGAGTCGGAGCGCGCGCGCGGGCGCCGCGCTCGCCGGGCTCCCGTCTCCGCGGGCTGCGCGGCCCTTCCGTGGGGAGGGAGCGCCATGTGCGGGAAGGCGGCAGCCAATCCTCCTGTTGGGAAGCCCAGAGCAGAGCAGAAGTGCCGGCCAGCTGAATCCTCCCCGGCAGCGGCCCTGCGAGCGGCACAGGGATGCACGGAGCACGGTGCAGCCCCCTGCCCTATTCCTGGGTGTTTTGCCAGATGGGCTCGTGCCCCTCTGCTTGGCCTTGGGCAGGGAGAGCAGAGCTGTGTTTGCTGGGGCACCAAGGCTCTGCTGTGCTCAGCACGGGCTCTTCGCTGTTTCATCTGCTCCAGGGAGGAAGAGGAGGAGGAAGTAACGTACTGAAGCATCTTTGTCCATATAATCTATCAGCCAACTGTCTGCTGACACATTGCACTGTATTCTTCTCTGCCACCCTTCTGTCCTTTCACTCATCCATCCCAGGGTATATCTATTTGCAATTTCCTCCACCTATCTCTTCATCCTAGTACCAATTTATTTGACTGTCTGTCTATCATCCAGCACCCATTTGTCCATCTATTCCTGGGGGTACTTGTCTCTCTGTTGGTTTTAGGGTTTAATAAGAGACTGTTTATGTGGTGTCTGAGCATCTGGGGTAGGGAACCAGACAGGATAGCTTCCCTGAGGAGCTCAGGGAGTCCCCTGTCATTCCTGTTTCTGAACTATAGCTCATCAAGAATTAGACCTGGTCAATGAAGAGCCACTACTGTGAGGAAAGACTCTGTACATAGGACATGAGAGCCTCCATTTCTGAGGCTGGCTCCAAGGTGGAAGCAGGTGAACTCCACTCCAGAGGCTCTGGGAGAGACTAGTGACTGCTCCGTGCAGGGAAGAGCTGGGGCCTTTGATCCTTCTTCTTCACTTCTGATCATTTGCAGCAGCTAAAGGCTCCATGCAGCTCACTGAGGTGAAAACCGGTCTGGATTCTTGCACATTTCTGGGATGTGAGAAAGGGAAAGGAGCGGGATGGAAATTAGGAAGGAGGATCCATCAAGACTTCTTGTAGGAAGATACCATGTGTAGGTCTGGCAACCTACCGGCATCTCCTTAAGCTGGTAAAGCTGGATTTAAATGGTGGTTCACGCTCTAACCTGCTTGGTCCCTAAGTGCAGAGGTGGCCGAAAAGACAGATGTTGAACAGCAGAGCATTTCCAAGAGGAATACTAATTCTGTGATGGAGCATATCTAGGTGGCTTGGCCTTGGGACATTAACTCTTTTAGAAGCTACTGAATTATTTACATTATTCTGAACAGAGCTGACCCTGACTTGCAGTTTCCCATTTTTTAAAATGAGATTTTTCTTTTGTCTCAACTCTGGATGAAAAATCACTGCAACTTTTCACAGGGGAAGGAAATGCTTCTGACAGGCAGAGCTGTCTCAGCCCAGTGAGCAGAGTCAGGGGTCGTTCTGGTTTGTACTGGGTTTCTCTTTTGGCCCCTAGAGCCTGTTGAGTGCAGTGAGGCTGCATTCATGATCCTGGGTATGCAGATGCGCTAGCATTAACACATTCCCATGGGAAATGTCAGCCTCGCAAGACTGGAGATCAGTTTGCTTCCTTTCAAAGAAGGGGCTTTGCTGTGAGAGCCTCATCCCGGCTGGCCCAGGTTTTGACTTCAGTGTGAATGATGGGGAGACATTTCCCGTGTCAGGCAAGAGGGGATGAAGCAGTGGAGGTGTTGAGGATCTGCTCCGCATCCCTGCGCGCAGCCTTTCACGGAGGAGACTTTCAGGGCAGGGGATCAGCCCTGCAGTGCTACCAATTTTGTGTAGGGTGAAGGCAATCCTAGCCTGTGAGTGGGAGGGCATCCGGAGGGAGGGGAGCAAGGGGTGCTCACGTGCTGACCCATATCTGCAGTAGTTTACAAATCAGTACAGCTGGTTAGCTGTATTTCCCCACTTCACAACCACTAAAATATTGCAGGCAGAAACACTGCCTTTCTCCTGTTTTGAGACCAAAGGCAGCATCCATGGGCTCCCAGCAGCTCATTGTGAAGCCCAGTGAAAATAGATTATGGAGTAAGATTTAATGATTCAGCATTTCTGTTGCCACTGATTTACTGACCGATTCTCAACTTTCTATCAGCTGAAGAGCTGCTTGGCCACCAGGAGCTGCAGGCGGCTGCAAAGGGAATTAAATAATAATGTCTTTTGGATGTAAAAATGCATGGATCAAATGCAGCAGCACAACCACCCAGACAACGAAGTAAAGGTCAGGATAGCAGCTAAAATATAAGGATTGGAGACTCCACTTACTTTTACAGCTTGCCAACACTAACATGGACTTAACCCATGTATGTGTCAATGTCTTTGTGCATTTATTTTAAATTTCTCTTTGCCAGGATTGCCTGAGATTTGATTTAGGGATGCAAAGTGATGCTTTGTTAATCCTATACAGAGTTTGAGTCCCTCCATGCCATCGGAGACCCCTGACAGCCATGATAAAGGCAAAGTAGGTTTGTTGGCACTGCCTTGGGAGATGTCCACACCACGTCCCCATCAAAATCGTGGTGGCCCAGGTTTTGCTGTCCTTATTTTTTCTTTTTCCCTTCATGTGGTTTGACCCTAAATTCATGCTGGATTGTCTAGGACACTAAAAATGGACCTTTAACCCAACACTTCCCATGTCTGGTTAAGCACATGTATCGCCTGAAGTTGAAGGAACAGTCACCTCTAAGCCCAAAGATATTTTCCCCTCAAGGTCACAATGTTGTTGGGAAGAATGTGTCTCTTGCAAAGCCATCTCATCCCTGTATGCAATTTGGATCCTGGATTGAACTTTATTCCTTCTCTTCCCACGCACCCTCGAACCTCTCTTGGCTCTGATGCATTCCTGCCCTGCTCTTCTATCGGTGCTGCCTCCTCCGTCGTGCTGCCATGGATGTGAGGAGGGGAGTTTGCATGGAACGTAAAGGGGCTTTTTTTGGCCCCAAAAGGATATCCACAGGGATCAGATGGGAACAGCAGCCCATCACCTTGGCAGCTCCCGCAGCCACGACACCTGCATGAGGATGAGGATGGGCAAGTCCTGAGCTGTGGAAACAAAAACATTGCAGCAAGAGCCTTGCTCTATGCTGACAGTCCCCGTCCACAGGTGACGAGATTGATAGCCCTGCGGAGACAAACAGGATGAGTGATAGATAATTTCCAATCAGCAGTAAACATTGCTGGGGACTCGTTGCTTCTCTAACTGGTGGGACACAGAGTCAGAGGAGAGCTGTTGTAGTGATGAGACAACAGGGGAACTTTTGCAGCGAGAATTTTTTGAATCATCTGAGAATACACAGGTGGCTGGAAAGATGGGTGGGTGCTGGGGTGCTGTTTAGGTGCTCCCCGCAGCACCCAGTGTGCAGAGCGTGGCCAGTCTGAGCTGCAGGGTGACCGCGGTTTGGCTGTGCCGTAAGCAAAGCCCAGGGACAGGGGAAAAAAAGGAGGAAAAAATGGCCTGAGTCCAACCCTATGAGCTCTCTGGAGACAACCCAGAGCTGCTCCGTGATGGTGCCTGAAAACCACGAGGAACGTGAAGCGGAAACCAATGAACCACAGTGAGCACGCTGGAAAAGAGGCCTAATTGAGGGACAAAAAGAGGAGCAGATGGGCAACCCTGCCCACCCTCCTTCCCGGGGTCTAATCTGGTACCGGAGGCAGGAGTGCAGCCCTCTGGGGTCACTGAGTGTCACTGGGCGCTGTGTTGTCCCGGCGTCGGGCTGGCTGCGAACCCCGGTGCGTGGTGGAGGGCTGAGTAACGAGGGAGCCCCATAGCCCCTCCAAATCTGCTGTCCTGAGCCGCTTCCTTGTGAGCACAAGAACTCCTGTTCTCTGTAGGATTAACAATTGTGAGCTCCAGAACCTGAGGACACGTTCCCCTTTGCTGAGTTTTCTCCCACCCTTTTGGCTCTGGTAGTTTCATGGAAAGCTGAGGTAGACTCCAGGAGCACCAGTTCCAGCAAAGCTCCCCCTACTATGCCAACTCCATTAAAGGGACTCTCAAGCATTTTTCTTACTGTGTTTTTTAGCTAATAAAGAGAAAGGGAACCTGTGCGGCTGGCATGAAGACAAGCTGATTGTAATTTCTTTTTTAGTCTTGCCTACACAGCAATTGGGGTCATCACTCTGTTTTGGCACAGCTCTTGTGCCAAGCGCAACATGGCAAAGCATATTTGGGTGACGATGCCTCAGGACTTTAGGGTCTGGACCAAATTCGGAAGTGAGGCACGTTTGGACTCTTGAAAGATGGGAATCTGCAACGGGATTCATGTCCTAGGGAACCTTCATTAACTCAGCCCCATTCCATGGATAAAGAGTGGAGTCTCCTATGGGAACATGGGCTGTGCCTGGGACCGCTCGCTGGCACCGCACCTGGGCTGCAACCAGCCCGTCCTCATCCATGAAGGCTCCTCTTAAGCCAGGCAGTGATTCCCCCTCCTCCTCCCCACCACGGCCATTGGGAAGCTTAATGAATTAATGCTGATTAAGTGCTTTCAGGTAATCAGATAAAGGTGTCATAAAAGTGCTTTACAGTGATGATGATGTGTTTTATGGTGAGGAGAAACTGATGATCCTAAATAAAAGCCCAAATTAAACCAGGGGGAAGTACAAAGGTGCCTTGAAATCCGGGGTGAACTTCAAATTAAGGACAAAAAGCCATTCAAGCATATGCAAAGTTCCCATCTCTCCTCCAGCAGTGCCTCGTTTTGACCTCCCCCCTCCTCTTCAAGAGCCTTTCTGTGAGAGACCAAGATTAATTACCTCCTGAGCAGCCCTGTGGGCTTCCCCCATCTGATAACGTGTGAATAAGGCTGACAGGACCTGCTAAGGGCCTCGCAGCTTTTTCTGCTCCCTCTCTTGCCTAGCACCAAGCTCCAGGGACTTGTCCCCCTCATTGTCACACCTCGGCACCTCCTCGCTGGTCCCCAGCATCCTGCTTGGACCTGAGATCCTGCTTGTCACCAGATCAACCAGCTCCAGATCAACTTTCACCATCCATAATGAGGGGAATGCTATAGGTATGGCCTTCTTGTCTGGTCTCTGGGCAGGGTTAAGAGATCAGTCCCAGTCCCAAACCTCCTTGCATCAGCTGCACTGGATCCTAGTCCATGGGCAAGCAGAACTGCTGCCCAGAAGATCTTCCTCTTGCTCCCCCAGCAAGGCCCTAAATAAAAAGACAGCAGCTTTTCTTCCCTTTTTGAAACTGGTGCTCTCCAAGCTGCCAGAAAAATCAAAGTTGTGGGACATGTGTCCAGCTCTGCAGCAATTAAAAGGGGGCACTGGAGCTAATGTGCTCAGCTGAAAGTCCATGTCCCCAGGTTGTGTGCTGGATATTGGCTGATATTCTAGAGGCTGCTGCCAACTAGCTGCATCTGTCCCTCCTTGCAATGGCCTTTCTCCTCCTTGCTCTTTTCTAACTGTTTCTCTTGGTGAGTGCAGAGCTGAGTGTGAGCTGTGGAGGCCACCATTCCTAACTGACTCTTCAGACTTAAATCTTGAAGAAAGTTGGTGGGACTCTGGTGAAGTCAAGAGACTTGAGGCCTGGGTCAGGCCAGACTTCCTGATTTCTCTTTTAGCTCTAGTGTGGTATCAGACGGAATGAATTCCAGGATCCCAGGACTTGGCCCATTTTATATGGTTTACTGGGGGGAGAAGATTTTTTTTCTTTTTTCACTAGAGTGATTAAACCAATTTTCTATCCACCTCAACAAAGATTTTTCTCTCTTCCTGTTGAGACAGTTGAAGTGTTTGGTTAACAACTGTTCTATCTTGTTCTATTTTTTTATGTATTTTTCCCTCTTCCTTCTTAAAGCAAACACCTAGACGCATCTGTGATCCTCTCCCAGGAGTAGCAATGCAGGAGATTTGGACTGTCATTGCTGCTATCACTGGCAGAAAACAAAAAGCTTAAGAGGGAGGAGGAGAGCTGGGAATCCACCCACTTCAAAACGCCTTTGGGTGCTCTGGGATGCTGGAAGGAGCATGGCCAAAGGAGAGAGGCCTCTATTCCCCCTGACCCCAGCTGCTGTGCCCTTCAAACGTCCTTGGCCCTTTGGCAGGGGAGGTCAGTGCTGCTCAGTGCAGAAGCTGATGGCTGCCCGTGCATCACCCCAGCGGTCACGCCGCATCTGCCGTGTCATTGCGATTCGTCTTCCTCCAAGCGCTCCCTGTTGCCGGCAGCGCTGCATCCCGGAAGAGATGCAGGAGAGAAGGGATAGGGAGTCACAGAGAGGCAGAAAAAGAGACACTGCAGGAGAGAGGGAGCTATTAAAGCTCCTTATGGAGTTCTCATTCTTCTATCCTTGTAAAATCCTGCTAGCCCCACACCCACCTTGCCAAGGCTGGAACCATTGGTCAAGGAGGGATGGAGATGAGTGAGCCAGGGCTTAGTCTCCTGTAAGACTGGACAGTCAGAGAAACAGCCAGCTCCTGTTTGTGTCTCTGGGGATGGGGGGACTTGGGGCTGAGCCATAGGTGTCTATTGGAACATGAGTATGATGTCCGCTTTGGAGAAAAAGAGGCCTCCTTGTCTTCTCCAAAGACCCTTGGCCAGTGTGCTCTGGGGTAGGCAGGAGGCAGCCCTGGCTGCAGCCCTTGGACAAGTTCTGGCCTCTACACCGCGGCCACTTTCACGGCCCCGCAGCGCCGGGCGCGCTCAGCACGGGCTGGGCGAGCTCCTCGGGGTCATGTTTGTTATGTTTCCCCGCAGCCCCTCCAGAAAAACATCCTGGAAACACAGAGGTTGCCCTTCTGCCAGAATACAAATGAAGCCCAAACAGAGTTCGCTTCAAAGGGGCCGTTAATGAGCCTCTCCCCCCGCCGCTCTGCCTGGGCCCTAATGATGCTGCTGCAGCGGTACAAAAGCTTCACCAAAAGCTCCACTTCAGGAGCCTGCTCAGGGGAAGGAGAGAGGCGGAGAGGGCCAGGAGCTGGGACGGTGGCACACGTCAGCACTGGGATCGCCGGGAATGGTCGTTGTGGCCCAAGGTGGGTGGCAGTGCCAGCACCTCATCCAAGTGGCACATAGTCCTTTCAGCTCTCTCCTGTGACACCCTGAGGAAGCAAATGCAATGGCCATGAGCTGTGGCTGCAAACACAGTTCTGGTCCCCCCACACGAATCAGCACCCTCAATGTTACTGGATGAAAAAGCCAGCAGTGGGTGTAGGAATCAGCTAAGGGAAAAAAAAGGCTAAGGGGATTGGATTTGTGGTTTTTCCTCCCAAAATATTTTAGGGAGGGAAGTAAGATGGGAGTTTTCTTTTGCTCTGCTAACAAGTTCCCTCCTGTTCCTTTCTATTCGTGATAGAAAATGGCTCCTGCCCTTCTTCCTGCCCTCAAAGAGAGAAAACTGGCATTTGCTGTTTTTCCTAACACATGCAAGAAATGTTGTCCTACTTTCATCTTATTCACAACATTATTTTTGCCTGGCTGAGAAATATTTTTGTGGCAGAAAATCCTACAAAATAAAACTAAAAATAGCCCCTTCCCACTTGCAATCCACAAATATTCATGATGCTCCGTTTTTTTTTTTGTTCCACAGGGCTGGATTTCTGTGTCCCTCTGATGCACCTGGAACTTGGCCCAGCAATTGCCACTGGCCAGAGTACAATGGTCCTGCTTGTGACAACCCTCATGGTCTCATAGCCTCCCTCCATGTATCATTTCAGGTACTTCCATAAGGGACAACTGCATTGGTAATTTGGGATCAATGGGATGAGAGAGTGAGGAGCAGCAGTGGAGTCCTGCATCTTGAGGGCCTTCCTGGAGAAGCTGCCTATGGGCATAGGTAGATTTTCAAAAAAAATCTCACTGCAAATCTTACAGAAGGTCTCAACGATCCCTTTCTCCCAAAGGATATCTGGAAAGCCAGGGCCAGTTTTGCTATGAATCAGTGCAGTTCACTAGAAGAGGCTTTGCCGGTGGCTTTTATTGAACCACCACGACAACCCCAAGCTCTTAGACCATTGGGTTTGATAGAGAAAAGCATGCAGAGAGGAGGAAACTCCTTCCCCCATGCCAGCACCATCCCCTATTTCCCCTATATAAATAAATAATCCGCTGTCTCAACATATTCCCATCCCAGAGGGCTGGGGCGGTGATGAATATGCCCAGCAAGGCTATTGTTCCACCGCGAGATAATAACAAATCTTCGATTTCTGTCCGCGGCCGTTAATGCCTCCGCTGATGCTCGGCTGTGTTTAGCCCCGTTGGGCATGCGTGTCCCTGCTGCCGCTGTGCCGTGCCGGAGGGAGGGATGGATGGAGGGAGGTGGGAGCTCCCGCAGCTCCGCTGCGATGGATGGGAGCCGTCAGCCCCTTAGCGAAGCTGTCGATAGCGCTGATCGGCGCCGGCATTGATTCACTCCTGCAACGTGTTTTCCTTTCCTGGGGAATACAGGAATGTGCAGAGATGTCCCTCGCATGCCCCATGCGTCCTGGACCGGGCTATGGTTGTGTTTCTTTTGGGTGCCACCATACGTGGGGCAGCTCCATGGGGACTCAGGGCAAGATTGCACCTCTGCTAGTGACTTGCAGGGACCAGTGTGGGACACGAGGAGAGTCCCAGCATGGCCAGACACGAGCACGAGGCTCCAACGGCACCTTCCCACATGGAGCAAGAGTGTGCGGGGGGGAAGGCCTGAGCGGCTCCGTGGTGGAGCATCCTCCCCAGAGGAGCATCCCTCCTCTCCCACGCCAAATCCAGGCCGGATGCACCGTCGCTTTGGAGGAGAGAAAACAAACAAGCAGTAAAGCCCCCTCCCTGTCCCCAACTGTCACTGGAGGGACAAACGGCGGCAGCGAAGGGCCCTCGAGTGAGTAATCTCTCCTTCATATGTGTCCCGGCATCCCTCCGCCACGCGCGCTCCGGGCAGCCACCACTTGAATTAGCACCGAAGGATTATGGGAGCCGCAGTCATTAATCTAGGTGACAAACAGGACTCTGAAGGAATATTTGCACCCCGAAATTGAAAAGATTAGGCCATATTTGTCAAGGATTGGTAGGCTTTATCGCCTCCAGAGCAGATGCTGTTAAATATTCATGAGCTGCATAAGTGGGAGAAGACCTCGCTAGGCCTGATGACTTTCAGAGAGAGGAGGGGACGGGGGGAGGGCAGGGATGGGGGGGGACACGCTGGCACCGACGTGCTGATGCTGAGCCCTGGAGGCAGCTTTGCCCGGCTGGGCACAGCGCTGCTGGGGTCCTGCGTGTGGCTTGTGCCCACTGGTGCAGGTCGATACCGACTGATGCCCATGTCGGGCTCAAGTGCTGGTGGCTGGTTTTGGGGTGCCTCGAAGGGTAAAGCACCCTCAGGACACGTCTCCAGAGCAGCCACGATGGCCTTGTGGAGCCCAGGGCCAGGCTGGAGGCTGGACCTGTCCCCTGGGTTGAGGACGGATGT